TGGGGCCCGGCGCGGCCTCTCCGGCGCCCGGACGCCGCCGCAGCTGCACGTCGGCTCCCTCCCGCGGCCCCTCACAACCCCGCCCCTCGCAGTCCCAGGGCGCCGAGCCAGTCAAGATGTCCGAGGCGGCCGGAAATCTCAATAGCCTCCGCCTGGCGAATGTAGCCCTGCGAGAAGAATTAAACGCCCTGCGCGGGGCGAATGCCAGTTTGGGCCTTCAGCTCGGAAGGGCCCTGGCAGAGGTTAACTCCTTGCGGGGCTCCATCCGCTGGCCAATGCCCAGAGTGCCCGTCCTGGCCGAGGAGAATTTTGAGTTCCCGCTCAGTGAGATCGACGCCATTCCCGAGAGAGAACTGCCCTTCTTATGCTGGCCTCCCCCACGCACGGAGCCCGAGTGTATCGCAGATGAACTGATCAGTGTGATCCAGGATTGCGGCAGCCTCGATGGCCCCAGTGACCCCCCTCTGCTGCCCAACCCGCCACCGCCGGTGCTACCTCCGCCGGAGCCAGAGAAGCCGCCCCCGCAGTCCCCTCTGCCACCGCTGGAGCGGCCTGAGATGGAGTCCTTTTCAGGCGACCCAGTCTACCTGCCTGAATTTCTGATGCAGCTAGAGACCTTCATAGCCAATCATGAGGATCATTTCCCTGGGGGCGCCGAGCAAGTGGCTTTTCTGATCTCCTTTTTCACTGGTGCAGCCAAGAACTGGGCCGTTTCAGTCACCCAGGAAGGAAGCCCCCTGCATGCCAACTTCCCGCGCTTCCTGGATGAAATCCGTAAGGAATTCTGTGGCCCAATCCCCCAACGTGTGGCTAAAAAGGCCATCCGCAAGCTCAAGCAGGGAGATTGTACCATCAGCAGCTATGCAGATGCTTTTCAGTTCCTGGCCCAATTCTTGTCTTGGGATGACTGCCGTCTCCAACACCAGTTTATCAAAGGTCTGTCAGAATTTTTCTGCAAGGAGCTTTTATGGTCACCTGAAATGGTGGACCTGGATGAGCTGATTCTCGAATGTGTGGAGACAGAAAGAAAAGTCCGTGTCCCCAAGCCAGTCCCGCTCCCTGGGGTTCGCAATATCTTCCTCCCTTTTGCTGCTAACCCTAATGATGATGAAAGTGAAGATGAGGAGTTCTACAGTGAGGATGAAGATGAAGAGGCATGCAAAAGCAGGCTTCACCTGAAGGACCAGTACAGGCGCCTAAGGGCTTTTCGGCAAGAGATGAAGGAGGGAGAGGAGATGAGGAAGAAAAATGAGGATAAAGATGAGAGTAAGGATGAGAAAAAAGATGAGGATGGGGGCCAGGAACCAGAGCGGGAGCCAGAACAGGAGCAAGAGAGGGAGGAGATCTATGGTGAAGTCCAGGATGATGACCTAGATGAGCTAATGGAGATGGAAGAGCCCATTGCCCATACTTCATCCCAGGCATCTGGCTCCACAAGTGGCAACCATGCTGAAAATTTCCTAGGTGCCTCGCTGCCCATGATACAGCCTGGCAGACGGAGGAACCAGAATCGAGTCCCACTTCTGGAGGGCCTCCCCGGTACCAATTCACCATTCTACAGTTCTCCACCACCGATTCACCGTGCAGGTCGCTTGGGGCATCGCCAAATTAGAAGACGCCCCCCGGTGCTATTCCGCCTCACCCCGAGACAGGGGAGCCACCGATCTGCTCGTGGCCGAATTCGTGTGTGAGTACTGGGGCAAGATGGCCACTCACAACACACCCTCCTACTGCATTCCCCACCCCTGCTGCCACCCCTGCCCCACCTGTTGACAAGTACTTAAAGGAGTGCCAGACCTGCAGAACCTGGAGAAGACACACAACTGAAAACCTGCAGAACTCCAGACAGTCTTGCAAGCATGACCAAGGAGTGGTGACACGTGCCCAACCAAGGCCATCTGGGAAAGAAGAGATCAGCAATAGCTGTCCTCTTGGCATGTACTCTCCTCATTCCTGCCACAAGCCAGAGAGCAAGTTTCTGGGCCTACTCCCATAACTGAACTGGTCACTCTCTTGTATTTCACCTCTAGTTGTTCCTAACCCTCACCTCTCCCAGTTTATGCACCCTGTGTTCTATGGTTTTATTCTCTGACTGGCTCACTGATCTGCCCCAATAATCTAAAGGACAGGCTACACTGAGGCCGGTTACTAGATATACTTAACTGAGAACAGGATATTATCAAGAAATATACACGGAAGCCTACACTTGTCTCAAGCCATACCTCCAGCAGAAGGGTCAACAGGACAATGTGGCTGAGATTTGCCCTTAACTGACTGTGTAAGCTGGTTCCCTTCCAGCACTTGACTTCATCTTCCCACAGACTCCTGTATCAGTGCCCTTGGACCAGCTTGCCAAACCTGGGGCCCTCTCCTCTCTCCACCTTGCCCTCATGGGCATCCCCGGTGGGCATAGCCCAATGTTGCAGGCGCTACTCCTTTTCTTGATATTGCCTAAAGTGTAGGTGGTTGGGTAGGGGGTGGGAGGAAGAGGAAGAGGAGAAGGAAGCAGCTATTCAGTTTACACTGTAAGGAGGGACTCCTTCCTTAGGGACTGCAATCTCCTCTCTGGGTCAGGCCTTGGACTGCAGCCCCCGGCCCAAGGTCTTTGCAGGAGACTTTCCATCATTGGGGCTCCAAAGGAGGCCTATCTGGCCTTTCCTTCCCAGACAGCCAAAGAGAGAGAGGGCCCAAGGCCTGCTCTTTAACTTGTCCTTCGACTTAAAGGATTTCTTAGTTGGAAAAAGAGAGAAGAAAGTTCATTCTACAGACTGCACCTACTGCAGCCTTGCAGCTGGGGCATCTTCATGCCTCTCCCACAGGGGGCAGCCTGTGACTTTTTGCTGTGCTTCAATTAAACAGGCTGAAGAGGGTGACTGCCCACTATTAACTCCTGGGGCTTCTAGGTACAAACAGGGGCCCTTAAAGAGAGACACACTGCTTGCCTTGAGTCCAGAAAACACTATTTCTGCAGTGATAAAACACACATTTACTATGCCAGCTCTAGCCACAGAATGCCAGCCAAATCACTGCTGGCCTGAACTGCGCTTCAACACTGAGCTTGCAGCACAATGCCTGGCAGTAGGGCAAGTGCAGCCAAAGTATTTGTGACCAGATGGAAGAAAACAGTAGATTAAACCTCCGTTCCTCAGTGGAGTCTGACCGATAACCTCAGCCCAGCTTTAGGATTTTGAGCCTTGGAGGCAAGAGGAAGGAGCTGGAGGAAGAGGGCTCACAGGGAAACCCAGTCCTCTGGCTGGTTTCTGGTAAGGTCTCTATTCATCAGTGGGAGGTAAGAAGCCCTTTTGTTTCTCACACATTTCTCAGCCTGGGGGTCAGTGAAGCTGGATTCCTAGAACCTGTTGCTACCTTTCACAAAGCTTTCTTCCTCCAAAGGTACAAACAATACATAAGCATTATAGAAAATCTGGAAAATAGAGAAAATGATAAGGACAAAACAAAATCCACAAAACATTCAGAATCCCACTGTACAGATGCAAGCAATATTAACACTTTGCTGCCTTCCTTTCTAGTGTATCCTCCCTGTATCTTTTCAGAGCTGAGATCCTTCTGCAAGCTCTTGATCCACAGGATTGAAAATGTCTGCCACCTACGCAGGAGTCCCTGGGTGGCGCAAATGGTTAAACGCTCAACTACTAGCCAAAAGGTTGGCGGTTCAAACCCACCCAGAGGTGGCTTGGGAGACAGGCCTGGCAATCTGCTTCCAAAAACCTATGGAGTAGTTCTACTCTGCACATATACGGTCGCCATGAGTCAGCATCGACTCCATGGCAACTAATAGCACAAGCCACTATGCAGTCATGCATGCAGGATAGTTTATTTAAGCATTCTCCTAATTTGTTGGACATTTCAGTCGTGTCTGGTTTTCGCCCACCCACAACAGTGCAGGAGTACACAACCTTGTAAAGAAACTTTCGTCTGTTTTTCAGCTTATTTCCTCAGGAGACAGTTCCAGAAGGGGAACTGCTATTCTTCGAGGCTGTGGACCTTGTTTGCTGATGGTCTACCCACTGGCCCTGCTGCCTGTGTCCCTACTGGAGATGTGCAAAGAACAGGTGCTTTGCACCTCCACTTCCCCCACTTCCAGGGACCCCTCAGCACAGGCTCTGCCTGTTCCCATGGTGCTTCTCACCATGAACTCTTGTAGCCTCAGCCAGAAAAGGGGCATATGAGTAGTGAGCTGGTTTCTGGCCTTCTGGGGGCAGGTGGGCCTGGGCTTCCCTTGATCCTTCTTCCCCCTTTCCCAGATCTTCAACATGTGTTGTGATGTAACAGCCACAAGGGCTGTAGAGGAACTTTGGCTTTGCCACTTTCTTGGGTTGAAAGAAGTAGGTGAGTTGGGGTGGGGTGCGGGGGCGGGGGTTGGATACATGCAGGGGTATGAAGGCAGCCCAGGGGTTCTCAGAGGCTTGGGAGGAAACCGGTTTGAAATTAATGTGTTACTGTTATTGTGTTACTGTGTTGTGACAGTAAGACATTGTGTATGCTAAAGCCTTCTCTCCTCAATAAAAATATAAAGGGTGTGTAAAGACTGTGTCTCTCTGAGTTATTGAGCAAACATAAATGGGCAGCCAGTAGGCATCAGGCACTTCCTAGGCTCCCTGCCTAAATCAACCCTAGCGTGAATCCTTGCAGTCTTTAGATGAGGAAACTAAGGCCATCGAGGCTTAAGGGACCTGCCTACAGTCCTACACATTTGTGGACAGCAGAAGTTGGGAGGGACTGGGGCATCTTGAAAAATAGCATTAATTCTCCACTTACTAGAATATACATCCTACAAGAGTCTCTTCACCCCCCAACACACACGTGCGCGCGTGCTCACGCGCACACACACACACACACACACACACACACGCACACACGGGCTTTGAGTAAAGGGAGGGAGGTCAGGCAGGGTGGGCAGGGAGGGCCGTTCCACTTTTTGGCACTAGGTGGTGCTGTGGGACACCAGAGAGCTAGCTGGCGAAGATTTTTAAACTCCTGATCCCTGCGTAGCCCCCGTAGAGCCCTCCTCCCCACCACCCCCACCCGCCCCCAGCAAGACTCCACTGCTCCTCACAGACGGTGGACTCAGAAGAAACAATCCCATTATGGGTTTGACCAAGCTTCCCCAGCAATAAATTGTAAAGTTTCTTTTTCCTGGGAAAATGGGTGAGAACGCTTATTGAGCCCCTACTGAAGTTTCCAAGTGCCGTGCCAAGCACTTCACATACATTATTTTACTTCATCCTGGTAACAATCCTGGGTACTATTCTTACCCTCGTCTTGCAGATAAGGAAACTGAGGCTTAGAGAGAAGTCACTGGCCAAAGGTTTACAGCTTGTAAGTAAGTGGCTCTTTCATAGCCCTGCTGCTGCCCATTAATCAGCTCCTGGGACACTTAGCAACTGTGTCTAAGTGTCTGCCTCCACTCTGCTGGCCCTATTGCCTTTCAGGCCAGGCTGGCCTCCTGGTTCTGCTCTGTCCTGTCCACCCTCCTCCAGCTTACAAGATTCCAGCGGAGAAACAAACTCCTGTTTCAGAAGCACGTTGCTTTGCCCCTTTAAGGGAAGGGAAAGAAAGAGGAGGAGAGGGGAGGGGAGATGGAGAGAGGGAGGAAAGAAGGAAATCAGTGTCTTTCTAACTGTGTGCCAGGCACTTTCACCAACATCATCTAATTTCATTGCCACAACAATTCAGTGAGGCAGGTAATGGTGTCTGAGCTGAGAGACCTGAATCTCAGAGAAACTAGGTTCCATGGGAGACTCCATGTCTTTGTTACTCCCAAACCCACACTCTCTCAACTCTAATCCACCATGCTGCCTCCTAGGAAAGCCCCCTGACAAGCTCAAGCCTCAGCCTCACCAGTTTCTGGGTCTTTGTCAAAGCGATCAGATATGCATCAGATGCACTCTCTCTGGAGATTTTGGGAGAACCAGCCAGGTGACAGTTCTGCCTTGTAGGGAAGGGCCTGCAGAGTAAGGCAAGCCAGTGGCAGTGCTGAGTATGCACCGCACCGCCGTGAGGTTAGGCTGATTGCCCTTTCTAGGGAAGGGACAAGGCTATGGGGCCATGGGCTGCATCAGTGAGCCCTGGGGCTTCCAATTATGCTTCGGGGTTCAGATAAGGTCTCTTGCACCCCTGGGATTTCTCATGACATCACAGGTAGGGATAGGTGAGCCCAGGTCGTGCAATGGCCAATCAGAGCAGGTAGGGGAAAGTAGGAGATACATAGGGTTAGCTCTGCCCCAACCCTGCACCTGGAAGCCCTGTAGGGAAAAGAACCTGGATTCCAGTGCAGCCCTGCCACTGACTCGATTTGGAACATTGAGTGAGTCCCATCCCCACTTAGGCCACAGCTTCCTCATCTGTCTAGTCATTGTTGCATCCCCGGGGTCCAGCACACAGCTTGGTACATAGTAGGATCTCAACCCTAGTTTGGTACATAAATGAAGAAGTAAGTGAATAAATGGGCCGCATGGATGGAGACCTAGAGGCGGCCCGCTACGGGCATGTGCAGATGGCATGAAGATCAGAGGACTAGAGGATCCCTTCCAAAATGGAATCAGGAGCCAACATATCTCTCCAACTTGGAAGGACGTGTTGAAATGAACTTTACCAGGGGCACAAGTGAGATCTTGCAGTCAGGTTCAGAAAACCAACTGCGGAAGTCTGAGTGGGGGAGATGTGGCTTAGAAGAAGCTTTTGAAAAAAAAAATTTGGAGAATTTGAGTT